GGGGGGGGGGGGGGGGGGGGGTGGAGGTTCTCTAAGACCAAAAACTTTAAAGAATGTATCAAGTTTAATTGGAATTTCCATAGGGGTGGGGGGTCTTGGAAAAAATCCCTTCTGTGGGGGAGGTATGGATATTTTCTGGAACTACACAATGTTGCTAAATTGTTAATTGAATTTTATTACATTGAATTGGGTATAAATACCGAGCACTGCAAAGTGAAAATTTACCTTTTCGCTTATGAGTTCTGTTTTTGGATGCAATATTGAATCTGTTTTGTTGTTTATTTTGTGCATGAGAAATAATGTTGGGTTTTTGTGATTTTATTTTTTCAGCCAAAATAGATCAGAGTATGAAAAAAGAGTGAGAAGTCAAGCTGCGAAATTTACAGCTACATGATGAAAGGGTAGCGGTTCATACATTCGCTTACAGACATGTGGGTTTACAATAACAAGCGGAAGGATTTATCTTATTCTCTTATTCATAAGACAGTTTCAGTGAAATAGGAGCTGCAACAAGAATTTGTCCTTACTGCGATACGGCTGTTGTTGTGACAATGATAAACATTTGTTAGAAATCATGTCTGTGTTTTTAGGGAGGCTACAAGTTTTTTTGTGCTGTACAGTGTAATGAACTTAATACATGTTGATGCATTGCCAGACAGTTGAGAGGTGAACAAAGACTAGTGTAGACCTTGCTTGTCTTTGGTTTTGTTAGGTGGGATGTATGCTGCAATATTCAAAAAGATGTTTAAGTCTGGTCTTAGAAGTTTTGTGTTGAGTTTTCTGTTTCTTCTGAACTAAACTCAAAAATCTTGAAGTAGTTAAAATGCCATGCGGAGTGGTGAAGAAACATGCAGTTCTCCTGTAAGTGCTTAATTAGGAACTCTTGAGTTTGGTATAGAAGACCGAAGATCCTAAGTACATGTAACTAATCAGGTGATATGTCACTGACTTGATACATGTTACTCATAATAATATAGATAGTACATATTATATACTCCAAAGCCCTGTGGAAACTGTTTGGAATAAAAAATGCTTGAAATAGGCTATTTCATTTTGCCCTTGACCTCTGCATTAGAGCAAGTCTTTTTGCAAAACCATTCATGAGAAAATATCCTCTACCTGCATGTTCCTTATTTTCTCGTGATTTGTTTTGCAAGAAGACTGTGTTGAAAGAAGTAAAAAGCAACTTGTAAATGGCCTATTGACAGTCACTCTATTTTTATAACGTTATTTTGCTTTGTTTTATCTCGCAAAGCTGGTAGTTTCTCGTAACTGTAGTTTTGAAAACAAAGACAGGTTATGTTAAGGGAGAAGCCCCCGGATGAAGTGGTGCAGTGGGAAGTGTTAATCCCTTCCTTCCCATTTTGCTCACATCTTTGGTTCTTGTCTTTGGGGCATTTTATTTTATGACTTATGTCTTTAGTTTATATAACACATGCTCTGATTGGCTAATTCTAGGGCATTATTCTCCTTTGATGTCCACGGGCCAATAATGGGACTGCAGAAACAAAGCAAAAAGCCATATAAAAAACAACTTACTAACCTCAAACGTTTGGTCTTTGTGGGAAAATCTCATACCTCCACTTTGCCATATTGGCCTCGCTATCGCTCAGTCGATACTGCAAGGTGTAAGTTTGAGATTTTCGTGTAAAGACCTCACCCTCGGTTATTAAGTAGTTACATGTGGTAAGAGAAAACTAGCAGCTTCTTGCAATCTCTTGGAGGCAACTGCCCTTCTACTTTTTTCGCCGTTGTTTTTGTTCATGAGTTTTGAGCTTTAGTTCTTACAAGTCTCCTTAAAAGTTTGGACATAATGAGAAGGTAAATTACAGTACTTGATTGAACTTTTCTAGCTGTATTTAAATGTGGGAGACAATTTTCAGCAGATATAGCTTCCTCTGGTTTTTATGACTTACACGCTGTGCTTTCCCCTGTCTGTACGACACTTGATAATTACTATTGTAGAGAAATGAATTCTTCACTGGGACAGTGAAAGTGCATAGCATAAGAACTAAGTGATGTATGTATCAAAGTACAGCTTTATAGCTTTAATCAAACGTCCAATTATTATTAATAAATAATAATGATTATTACTATATGCCATTTCCTTTTAGTTTTGTTGTCAAGAAAATTGGAAGCTCTATTTTAAGCTTACAAACCAGTCTTACGAATAAAACAAAACCTTTTAAACTGCATGTAAAACAGCTATGGTTTAAGGTGGGTCTTGATAATTTAGACCTCCTATTTGTTTGGTAACTCCTGGCAAAGGAACTCTAAACTTGTAGTTAAAGAACGTTTGGTTTACACTGGGTGCACGTGACATAAAAATGTGTTGCCTTGGCAACATTAAAATAGTTTGAATGGAACTTTGTAGCTACTTGAAAAAAATGTGTATAATAATTTGGACTTTTTTTTCTTGGGGCTATGTATAGAAAGCAATCCATCTAAGCTCTGAGCCCCTCTTGCGGAATATTCTAAGTGGGAAGACTGTGCCACGCCCGTATTTTATCAAAATAAATCAAAAACGTTTTTGCCGGGTAGCGGTTAAGGTTAAAATGGAGGCAATATTCAAAACGGTGTGCTTGATGTGATACGCCCACGTTGCGAAACGTAGTCATGAAACCTTGAAGCATGAAGAAGCGCACTTCACTCCTTCATCCTCAGTTCGTCTCATTTTAGAATGGAATAGGCGTAATCAAAGTAACGAAGATGCCACTTTTGTGAGATTTAAAGGAGCTCGGTCACGTTATTTTGAGTTATTTTGGCCTCGCACAAAATTACCTTTAAGTTGAGCGAAACCTGAAAATAAAAGTTTAGTAAGATAAAGAATCACTAAAGAAATAAGATTAACATGGGTTACAAACGACGAACTTGAATAATTTACGGTAAATCTTTCAAGGTCACGTGACAGGTTCTGCCAAGCTATCAAATGCACAACTAACACAAACAGAATAATCACTGCAGGGATATTAAAATGACAACGGCTCAAATGAACGACAAATGTTCCTCTAGAGTGGTTTTAATTAAGGTAAAAGCCAAAACCAAATTAATCAAATCCAACAGAAGCATATATCATAAGCTGCTGCTTCAGAACAATCACAATCCAGGTGACAATCATGCCAATAAAGCAGCGAACCAAATATTAGCTAAGTGGAACTCGATCTAAGCAAAACCATGCATGCAGCCGGTTACTAGGGTAAAGCGCGGGAAAAAGAAGGGGTAAAGCGCGGCAAACAGCACGAGAAAAGCGCGTTAACCCATGGTTTTGGTTGATTGGTTAGAGTAAGTTGCACGCCGGGTTTTTTCAACCAATCAGATAGCTCAGCAAAAGCAAACCGGTTAGCAACTGAAAAAAAAGTCCGCTATAAGTGGTGCTACGAAACCCAAGTTCCTTCAACGCTCCAAGATGCTCAGAACTGACGCCATGGAGATCGACAGGAAGCTGACACCCAGTGGAAGAGCTGAGGATGTCGGTCTTGTGGTCATTGCTGGTGTTGTCTGCGGAGGAGTGGACGGCATGTCTATTCCTTCAAAGACGATTTGGTGGGTTTCCATGGTGTAATTTCTGTAAGTGTGCTTGCCAAACATATTCGGGTCGCTTGCATCTTGAGTTTCGTGGTAGGCCCACACTAGATGCACTCGGGTGGTGACCTGGGGTGGAGAATTAATAATTCAGTCATTTTGAAAACAGGAAAATACTGTTCCTTTTCTCCCGTTCCCCACCCCAATTTTCGCGCGGCCAGAAAGTTGGAACTACTTCATCCAAACGGTAACGTTTGCTACGAAAGCTTCTTCTTCCTTGGCTTACATAAACAATAGCCTCCATTTTGCGCAAAAATACGCACGGATATTTGTCGGCGGACATTATCTGTTCCGAGAAGCGAGCAGCTTTCCGAGAGCGTAGCTCGAAGAAAACTGTGAGCTTCAAGGAACAGATAATGTCCAAGAACAAATATCCGTGCATATTTTTGCGCCAAATGGAGGCTACTGTGTTTATTATCCTTCAAATATTTTTCGCAACACACGCAGTTTTGAAAATTGGTGAATATTCTCGGATATTCCCCAGTTTTAGCTGGAGAATATTCGGTCACATGACACGTTTAGACCAATCGCACGCGAGCGAAAATATTTGATGGATTATAATAGTTGTTACTTGAAAACTTGACGTCTAAGTTTTTGATAACGTATTTCCCGAATAAACCTTTAGCGTTGGGAAACTCGCACTCTGCCTCAGACTTTTCTATCATCACAGAACTCTACTTCTCGCTTCCCAGCAGCCTCGTTCCCAGAGCCTTTCCCTTTTCCCTGACAAANGGTGTCTTCTAAATCGTCAAATAAACATCCGTAAAAAGGACGGACAGAGGCTCTTGCTGAAACTGATTTTAAGAAGGTCCATCTCCCCCCACCTTCTCAATTCATTTATGCTGTGGGCCACAGCATAAATGAATTGCGAAGAATACCTTTTCGTGCACAGGAAAGCTGCTTATGGATTTATCGGACACGGATTTCCATTGTTACCATGTTTTGTGGAGATAAGGTTATCTTTGTATTCGCTAGTTTTCGATTCCAAAAAAAAATTCATAATATGTCTAGTTAGCCGTCCGTGATCCGCCTCGATCTTCCTTAACCCTGTTTCACTCCCAGGAGTAACGGATAAATGCTCCTTACAACACCAATACATTTTCAAGCAGGTAGGCGATAAGAGTATAGAAAGACATCAACTCTGAGATGCTGTTTCGAGTCACCAGTAAATTTCCAGAACTATAATCTTAAATGACATCGCATAGTAGTCAAGAAGGAGAATTTGCTTTCAGATCTTGCGAGTGAAAGGGTCATCCTTGTTTACTTTGGGTTCAGTTTTATCTCTTTATTATTATTATTATTATTATTTTTTATTATTATTATTATTTTTTTTTTTAAATCATGTCATTCTGAAGGTTCCAGGGGAAGGATACAAATTACATATTGCAGAAGTGAATTTTAAAGCACAAATTGAAAGATATCAACGAATAACTCACGTTCAAGTAATTCCGTCCAGCGCTCGTGCGGCCGCCGACTATAACATCGTAGTTGACCATTTTCTTCGGCGTGAAAGTAAAACCAAACCCCACCCAGCCTGTCGTGTTCACGTCAACAGCAAAATGTAGCTGATCGGTTGTCCTGTTGTGCATCCACGACACGTTGAAATTACCATTGTCAAACTCAACAGTCGATACATTAGTGCCATTTGGAAACTGGCCGTAGCTAAGGTGAACACAGGTCACAAGTGTTGCCAATAGGAAAAACATGGTTTGGACTTGGTTGGGCGACGGAGTAACTTGAAATGACGTTATGTATGTTACTGTTGATCATTTTATGAATGATTTGCTAATGCATCAATATCTCTACGGAGAAAAATTTGCATCTGTTATTGAATTTAAAATATTGTCATATTGGACGAAGAGAAACGATTTCTAAAG